TATATATATATAGATATATCTAAACTATTAACTAATTAATTAATTAATTAATTTTAATGCACTTTACACGCAATTATGGCTATTTTGTATTACATATACGCACGTGGCAAAATATAAGTAGTCATTCATTATTTCCAGATGCGTCATTTTATTTTGACTTACAATTGAAGGTTATATGCATTTTATCGAGGAACGGAATGATTGTCATTATAATTACGCGTTAGAATCTTCATAATGACGAATAAGTTGAATGGAAATCACCAAGCGCAAATATGCGCACATATAGATATCTATTGTGTATGCAGATATCTTTACACTTTCCTATTGATTTCAAAAACGTTAACAAGTTATACTAGAAAAAAAATTATGCAGAATATCCATTACTCGGATGACATCACCCGTTTACCTCATCGTCCTTTCTGCTGAAACTTGTTAAAATATTGTAGAGTCAAGTGATAATAAAAAATAATAATTAAACTAAATCGAAATAATATCTCTATGATAAAAAGGCGCAATTTTGATAATGTAATTGAATGACATATTGAACTTGTGAAATATCGGCGGTCATGTAATATTATATCTATTAAATAACAAAGTTTTATGCTGATATGCATGTTATATAATATATAAAATTGAACAAATATTTGATAATACAAGCTTATTTTTTTTTAATAAAATTTTTTTATAAAACTGTGCTCCAAAACAAAATTTGTTTTTATCCGCTTTTATATTAAATATTACAGATATGTAAGATAACAACAATAGCTTTACAAAACAATTGTAATATTTTATAATTAATGAAATATTTATTTAATTTTTTAAATAAAAATGTAACATCTATAGTGATAATTTTTATATTTCATAAATCATTTGTGCTAAATTTAAAATTACGACAAAATCAGAATTAAAATGAATGCTTTTGCATTTGCACAGAGAAAAGTTGTTTTTAAATTGCAAATCATAGTTAATAATCATTTCAAGCGACTGCAATTAGCAAATAATAATATACTGTAGCGTGATGTGAAAAAAATATTTGCAACAGGATCACTCTGTTTTTTCTTTCTCTTCAAAGATATAAGTTCTGCTTTCGTCATTACAGGTTTGTTGATTTCTCGCTCGCGAGAATAACGCTTGCGTTATTTATGCAGAAGAAAAAATATTTATACATACTTTACTTACGTACCGTGACCTCAAACGGGAATCTTATCTTCGATGTGACAAATGGCAACCACCTCCCTTTGACGTTTCTGTTCCGGTGGAGCGGAGATGTTCGGACGCGAACGCGTGAAAAGTTACGCGCCGCTTTAAGAAATCTCGCAGTCGTCCCTCGATCGTCTCGTAGTCCGGAGCGAGACTAGGACATCTCTCGAATTATCATTCACATTAAGATACCTTGAATAATTCATTATTCGCGTGAAACGAATAAGAGAGTGTCGTGAATTGGAGAATGTCGCGTTCAATACAATCGAGTTTTCTGTAATATACAACAAATATTAAGAATATTTTAAAAAAGAATAAAACTACGAGAAGATTAAAAAAAGGTATCTTATCGATGATCATAAAATTGGAGTATTGATCGGAAAAGGGGAAAAATAAAAAAAAGCATTTCGTTCAATATTAATAGTTAACGCTAGCGAGTATAACAACCGCCTCCGGACTTCTTTATCCGTGACAGTGAAAGTGCTGAGGAAAGAAGGAAAAAAGATCGGCTATCTCTTTAACGATACTCTTATTTACGAAAGAACGGGCAAGAACGCGATCGTTGCCAGTCAGTACTTTGTCGAATTTGAAAATGAAGAAACACGTGTAAAACTATGTCGTGTTATCATTGAGTGCCAGGATTAGAAGAAACGTTAAAAGCTCATTAAATTCGTCGCTGAAGATAAAACTGTATAACATCAAAGAAGTAAGAAAGATTATGTAAATATATAGGTATTTGTAAAGATTTGATACAAGAAAGCGTTACTTTCTCGTAAATTATCTTTTTAATAAATATTCCCGTCTATCAACGGTAATCAAGAAAATTAATCTGTATTCTCTTTATTTAAGTTATAAAATGTTCAAAATCTGTGGCAGAATTTATAAGATTAACATTATATATACGTATATATATCCCTTACAATAAATAGAATTACATAAAAACAACAATGTCAACAATACTTTTTATGGTTATTAATAACTATATTTAAGAATTAATTAATAACATAATTTTATTAAGATTTGAAATTTAATGATTCGATTATTATATTGTTTATGTGTGTATGAAATGGTCTATTTTTTTAAATTAATTTTAAAATAATAAATTTTTGTTAATAGAATTATTTTTTCTGAATGGCTTTATTTTAGAATTAAAATAGTTAGTCCCAAGCAGAACAATAAGTCATGATAACGTCAAAATGATGTTAAAATGTATTGGAAGCGATCGAAAGACTTTTCATCAAGCTTTTCATTTTAACATTATTTTAATATTACGATAATATTTTGTTTTGTGCGTGCGTGCGTGCGTGCGTGCGTTGAGTATACTTATAATATTATTAGTAACTTTTTAATCACCTTTTTACAAATTGTTATGTTATCAGTTTTCGTATATCTTTTTAGTAATGTATAAAAACATTAATGTGATAAAATTGGAATGAAAATATAAAATATATTTTTTGCAAATGCTTGTAAAAGATATCCAAACAAAACAACAAATCATGATATCGTCAAAATGAATCGAAAATGATTTTTAATAATCATTTCGGAGACATTTTGACATCATTTTGATATTATGACTTGTTATTCTGCCTGGGTAAGTTCAATGAAACATAGCAGCTTATTTTCTATTTTAATGAAATTTGATTATCTCTATTTTCTTTGTCAAATTTTATTATGCAATTTCTGCAGTGAAAGTCTATAAGGTTAGAAAGTGCAATAACTTAACTAATTTATAAAATCAATCGCATATACTTAGAATACATACATATAAAACA